TTAATTAAGTATCAAGATGACCCTTCATATACTTCTTTCCCATTTGCTTCTCATCATATGTGAGTTTATAATACATCCATTAATCATACATATTGTAATGGGAATATTTTCATTATTGCAATAATGGTTATGTAAAAAATAAATTAATATTATTATACTATAAAATATGAGCTATTGTTCAAAACTTTTATTTTCTTTTTTGACCCCTCAACAATGCAAATAGGTCATTTTAATCTCTAAATGTAAGTTAATTATTAAAAATATTGTTACTTATTGATATCAAAAAGTCACCCCTCTATCTCCTTCCCTCCCCCCTTTCTCTCAATAAAAAAACCAGTGTGCCAAGATGTTCCTCTTTTAATGGAGAAAATATTTATTAAAATGGTGATACCACACAGTAATGTGATGTGGTATCACCTACCAATAATACTAAAATAAGTAAGCAAATGGACCTCACAAAAATTAGTAACCAATTTGTCATGTTAGCAAATAACTCCATACTCTTCCTCCATGTAATCCCAAATGGGGTTCATCTTGTCTACTTTGTATTTTATTATTAGTTGGTGATACCATATCATCAATGGTGACATCGTATCACTGTTGCATTCGATATTTAATGGTACCGTTGCATTGAATACTTTCTCCGATGCCCGCCCCATCGGCCATCTATCTCTCTACAACACTTTCTACCTATTATTAGTTGTATTAATATAATGGAAAAATTTCATCCACACCTTTTCTATTTAGATCTAAATTCAATGACACGTCCTTTCGATTTTAAAACTTCACTGTACCCCATTCTAATTTATACTTATAAATCAAAGATAGTTTTTTAACGGTAACTTCTGACTTTACCAATACATAAAGTAATGATTTGACTATATATTTTGTGAAAAATGTCAAAACTACCATTTGTTATGTAAATAGATTAAAATGCTCTCAACCCTTTCCTTATTATATATAGGAAAAATATCATCTACACCCCCTATAGTTAAGTCTAAATTCAATGACTCATCTTCCCGATTTTAAAACTTTACTACATACTCTTCTAGCCATACTTTTAAATCAATGACACCTCCTTAATGGTAAATTTTGTCTCTACCAGTAGATAAAGTAATAATTTGACAAAATATTTTGTGAAAATACCAAAATTACTTTTTATTGTGTAAATGGACTAAAATCCCTGCAATCATTTTCCCATTATATATGCCCTAATCAACCAGTAAGCGTGATTTTTATCACTATATTATTCAAATGAATTTGTATTATTTTCAAGCGTTGCATGATAACTTTGTTATAATATTAGTCATCATATTATAACTCATTTGGCTACATAATCGAGTTTTTATAGTTAAAAATAATTTTTCTATAATAAAAATTACAATCGATAAAGTCAATGTCAAAATCCCATTCATTTCTAACTCTTCTACTATCGTCTATCCTCCACAATGTCGCATGACCACTCTTCACACATCATCCTTCATATATAAAATTTAATATTAATTGAATAAATTTGGTCTTAATTTGATAAATTTAAATATTAATTTGGTGTTAATTTGATGAAATTAAATATTAATTCAATGTTGATTTGATAAAATTTAATGTTAATTGAATAAATTGAAATATTTCTTTAATGAAATTGATTGTTCATTTGGTGTTAAATTAAATAACTGACATTAATTTGATAAGGTTAAATGTTAAATTAATAGAATTTAATATTCTATTTAATATATTAAATTTTAATTTAATAAAATTGAATGTCAATTTGGTGTTGATATGATGAAATTAAATAATAATTTAATATAATATTAAATAAATAATATTAATTTGATGAAATAAAATATTAGTTTAATATAACTAAATTCTAATTTGAAAAAACTAAATATCAATTTGTGTTGATTTGATAAGATGTAATGTTAATATAGTTTAAATTAAATAAAGATCATTAATTTGATAAAATTAAATATTAAATAAACCTAAAGGTTAATATAATAGAACTAAAAAAGAGTGCATTGAAATTTCAAAATCGGGAGGTGACATTGTTAAAGATAGGTTTATTTACGGGGGGTGTCGTTGAAGTTATGTCTATGTATAAGGGGTGTGAATAAAATTTACCCTATAAATATTTAAGGGTATTTATATAAATTAACAATCGCCGTTAACACCGTAACCCAACAAGAATTGATAGGGGGTGACAGTGAAATTTTAGAATAGGAAAGAGTGCCATTGAATTTAGACATAAGAAATTTTCCCTAATATCATTTATAACAATTTAATATGTTTTCCACCTTTTCCTTTCCCTAATCCCCACTAAGAGAAACTAGAGAGAAAGACTTTTTTTCATTACCATAGAAACCAGAGAGGCAGTATAATTAGTTAAAATTGTACTGTGAATTTTAATTGGTTCCAAAGCTTGAGAAGATTGTGGTGGTGACCTTCGACAATGGACATGCTACGCTAGATCGGAGAAGGGCAGCAGCTTCGTAGTCACTCTCGGATGAAATGTAAAGTTGTTTTCTCACATCAATTGTGTTTGTTGCTATTTTTATTACATCTATGGTACTTGTGATTCTAGTTTGGAGGATATTAACATCAGATAATTGTATGCTTGATGGTTAAGGACTTCAATCCTTATAAATAAATGAATTTAACCTTATGCTCTATCATGCCTCGTGATGTTGCGTTTCATAATGTTGTGTTACATGCATCAAGTTCTCACAATAGTATTTCCATATGCAAGTTAATTATAGTGTATGGTTTCTTTAGACTTATGATATCTTTTATTATGCAAACAAGTTGTATTATATACTAGATAGTGTATACTCATGTTGTTTTATTTGCGGCTTCATAGGGCAAGAAACTACCAAGGTGTAGATTGGAGTTTCCTTTGGCTGACAACTTTAGTCACTTCATAGGGCAAGAAACTGCCAATGTTACCATCCTTTTAATTTATTTCCACTTCTTAAAATTTTGTAGTTTCGGCTTATCTGAAATTTCTATTTAAGAATGGTCATGGAAGTTGATTCGACACCTTTTTTTTTTCTAATAAAAGGAATACATGCAACATCATACTGCAGATACAAGAGCCCAGAAAACCAATAATCCCAAGTCCACGCACCATCTCCGAAAATGCCTAATTTTTTGAGGAGTGGATGACAGTTTATCAATCAACCTGACTCATTTTGTTAAATGTTTTTGTTATACAATAACTACTTATATCCTCACTCCCTGAATATATGCATCCATTTCTATTGATTTGACAATTTAAAACTGATTAATTGTTAAACCGCTTAATTAGCTTGTAATCGAGGACCTATTATTTTCTAGCTAGAATTTCATAACCACGATTTTACTTTCACTCAAATTATCCCCATTATATTTTCTAATCACCATGATATTTAGGCATTCATTTGCCTTTCCACATTCCAAGGTGTCAACATGCTTTTAGGCCACAAGCAAAAGCCATGAGTCAACAATAGTTAAGATTAGTCCATTCACCCGACCGTGAATGAATTCTTCTCAAGTAATGCCGTTGAATTATTGGAATTGTTCTAATTTTAAGGCCTCAGTTATATTCCACTAAATAAAATCGAAAAGGTGGATGAAAAAGAATAGTGCTGTCTTCATATTATGGAGTTGGAGATGGTCATGGATTCAATAAAAAAATTACTATATAAATTATTAGAGCTAATATCTCGTAAACAAAAAAATTTCAAACGTATTGATGCCCTCGAAGCCTTCCCAGTCTCCCAGCCTCTAAAGTGTTTTGTGTTAATTTTATTTTTTTCGAATGAACCCCAATGCAAACAAAGATTAGTATCCAAAATTTTAAATTCTTGTTACATGACCAAGAACTTATTTTTGTAAAACAAAAACCCACATAAAATATGACCGAGAAGGTCCAAACTCCTAATATTGTTAAAAAATTGAATGTGAAAAGTCTATTTAGTTTATCTAATTTTGGGGTAAAATTAACCCTGCTGTGTCTCATGTGTTGTATCGCAAGTCCACAATACACATGGATGAAAAGCCGAGGAGAGATCATTATGACAACAAAGTTGTTGCATCTATGATCTCTAAGAAGATTCCAAAAAAGGTTCGAGTTCTTGATATAAATTCAAATAAGGTATTTTTTTGTTGGGTTTGGGGGGTCCAGCCCATGTGGGCAGCCCAAACTATAAATCATGGGTCCAAACCCATAGTTGTAAGAGCACAAAAAAAAAAAAAGGGCAAAACAGGGCCGGTAAACAATGAGACTTATTAACTTCAATCCATTTTTGAGGGGGGTTGATGGTGATGGTGATGGTGATGGTGATGGTGATGGTGATGAAAGTTTTCTCTGTGTCTTACTTTTATGATTATTGTTTTTTATTTTATCAGAATTTTATTTAAACTTCGTCCTTGTGGGTTTTTTCTATATGCATGTATATAATCATCTCAATCTATGAAAACTGGTAGACCCACTACCTAATGCTAGCTCTCATATGTGTATCTGGCTAAGAAGGCCTGATTATTATAATTATTGATATTGTAGTTAACTTATAAGATTTTTTTTGTTAACTTAACTAACTAATAAGATAATGATAGTGTCAGTTGCTTAAATCTCATATAACAATAGTGAAAGTTGTTGTAATTCTCAGTAGCAGGTGAGGGTGTTAGTTGGCACCATATTTTTTTACCCATGAAGGAGATGATAATTCTAAATTTGTCATAGCAATCAACTGTTATCAACAAACGATTGTGAACTTGGAGTTACAACTATTCTCTTTGTTTTGTCTGAAGTCCAACTACGGTTACAAGAAATCTTTGTGGCCTAAAACCTTGGCCTCATGGTTTCCGTATCCATGCTCTTGGTGACATAACAAATGGCTGCATGTCAACAGGTTATCTTTATTCTCCATTGTCATCATCATTTTATAGGTATCCATGGAGTATTGGGGGATAGGGAACAAGCAATATGATACTTCACTGAATATGGTGTGGATCGCTTCAATTTGCAGGACCACATTTCAATCCTGCTGGTTAAGTGCATGGTCATTCAGAGGATGAGAATCGTCATGCTGGTTATCTTTGCAATGCTACAGTCAGTGAAGATGGTACATGCTTTTTAATCATGACTAGAAAATTTTCCACCTCACCATATATCTCCTATCAAAAAAAAAATCATAAATACATGTGGATATAGTTGCTTTATGTTAAATATTGTACTTCATTCCTTGTTAATGAGAGAAATTCGTATAGCCATTACTATGTGTCATTGCGATACTTATCACCACTGTTAGTACAATTTTAGTTTTCATGGTTTTTTTTATTGCACATACAGAGTGGCAATGCACAATTAACTTTAATATGTACTATTGTTTGTAGATTCCACTCTCTAGGGTTGTAGTTGTCCATGGTGACCCTGATGATCTAGGAAAGGGTGAGCATCAATTTTTCAATCACTATATTGCTTTTATAGTGGCTTCAAATGTAAACCATTTACCTTACAACAAGGCTAGCTAGACCAAAAAAAAAAAAAACCCATCATGTAACGCATAGTAAATGAGTTATTGGATATTTGTCTCGAATGATTGTTGAGTTGATTGCATGCACTGATCGTTGTTGAAGTTTTTGTTTTTTATAGTAATTCTTTATCTTGTAATTAAGTATTTTATTTTACACTTAATTACTAATTAGACTACATTATACAAGAGTCCCATCAATGACTATGAGGAGAAACTGGCTGTGAATGAATTTCTGGTTGAGAGACAGCTTGAGATCAAGACTTTCATAGTGCTGTAATCCTTACCTTAAGCAAAAAGGTGAGAAGCTCCTCCCATCAAATTGGAATCACTAATCTAATTCTTGTGCCGCTTTCCCAATCCAAATATAGAAAAATGTCTTGTGTTGCATTAAAGAACTCATGCAACATCATGCAAATAAAACTCACATGGGTGGCATTCTCATTAAAAAAAGGGTCACCTTTTAAGGCGGAGTGAATTCAACTCTAGACAAGTTTACAACACAGCTCATCAAATTATTCTATAAGTAAAAAGCTTTAGAAGTCTAGAATAGTTGCTAGTGAATATGATCTCGACAATTAACAATTTCATTTTTTTTCGGAAGGTAAATAAACTATATTGAAACAGGGGATGAACAAGGTGTACCAATACAAGCAAAGGAACACCCAAGGAAACAAAAGGATAATGATGGGACACTTCTAGAAAAGAATGGAGATCTGACACGTGTCCTCGGTCCTGAGGACAACTCCAGGACTCTAAAGAAGACAAATGTCCTCGGCACCGAGGACACCTTCAGCTCTGTAAAGAAGCCATGTGTCCTCGACACTAAGAACACTTTCTACTCTCTGGTGATGACACATGTCCTCGACGTCGAGGACACTTCCATCACTCTAGTCAAGACACATGTCTCCTGCATGATTAGATCCCGAGGACTATTTTTTTGGATACGTCACCATTGCTCCAAGGCAGATTATTGACGGTTGCAGCCTGTTGAAATCAGAGTCAGACAATGGATCATTTACTTGTCTTCCCAATGAATTCAGAATGCTAGAATGGACAAGATCAACAACCAAAGAGAGTTAGACACGTGGCACGATGTACAAGATTGGGGAAAAATTGACAATAATACCCCTATTGGCACACAACCATTCCAGAAGAACATTTGATGATTCTCAGGAGGATGAGACGTTTTTACCATCCAAAAGACTTCAGAGGAAGGGATTGAGTACTTAGGGGGGCAAGCATTTAATGCTTATTGGTCTCCCATGCAAGATGAGAGGCGTTCTTCCCAAGGACTGGGCACCACCGCCCGTTGCCCCCCAAATGGGCCAATGGGGATCTCACCCTAAAGGGACCCACTGGTTAGCAATGATGACCTTCATAGAATGTATAAATAGTATCCAAAAATATGAGGCAAAGGTACGAAACTCAATTCTCATAACATACCCAATATTTTTCGTCCCCTCTTTCTCACAAACTAACTTGACCATCGGAGAGGATATGTCGGAAAACACTCTAGCACCCTTCTAACTCTTCTTTTGAGTGCCAGGAAGCTCCTTCGGCTTGCCAAAATTGATGGAACAGCTGAAAAAGCAATTCATCACCACTCCTTAGACCATTTGTGGCATTCATTCGCCATAAGATCGTCGACTTTCAAGGTAAATACGAGTTCGTCAAGAGAGAGAGTTGTCTTTTTATTTATTGTGCAAAAATCTCCGCGCACAGTTTGGCACTGTTTGTGGAAAATCAACCAAACTTTCCCAAGAACCATGACTATAGTGAATCCTTGTCAAAAAAGGAAGGGTCCTTAGCAAAGGAATGCGAGTTTACAGGCTCTTTTTAAGTTAAGAACGGAGGATCACGTCGATAGTGTTAACAAGGAACTCTCTGTTCATTCCAGAGAAAGGACTCACCAAACTAGTCTGAGTATCGGGGCTAGAAAGGGCACTCCTTTAGCCCGTTAACTTGCTGATGTGATTGAAGAACAGTTAGGAGATCAACTACGACAATTAAAGGAAGACAACATGAACGTTCTAAATCAACTCGATGAATTGGAACTTTCTAATGGGGGATCTCGGGACTCGCAATAGTCATGAGAGCCCTTCGTCAAGGAGGTGGGAGTTGAAGATTTGAGGAACTGCCTTAGTGACGGAGCAGGGAGCTCCATGGCTCCGCCCGAGGGTCAAGGGACAGCTCCTGGAGGTCCCACCCAAGAAAACTAGACCACTGGCTTGGAATGACCTTCGTCGAAAACTGTCTGTGTGAGGGGGCGCAAAGGAGTTGACCCTCTTCGTGCGAAAAGCTAGAATTGGGGGGGGGGGACATTGACCGACACCAAGAAAGTAAAGAAGTTCACCCCAAGCAATGGGGAGACCTCAGGGTACGATTGGATTCCATGAGATGGGATAGGCCTACACTAGAGGATGACATTGATGACGGAACTATTAAGTCTATTCACTAGGAGTATCGTAGAGATGAAGGTACCAAAGAAGTTTGCAGTACCAAGATTTAAAGTTTACGATAGGCGCTCTGACCCAGAAGCTCACCTCAGACAATACAAGCAGATGATGTTTTTATACCACTCAGATCATTGACTGTTGTGTCGGGTGTTCTCAATGAGCATGGGGGACATTGCCATGAAGTGGTTTGAAACTCTTCCACCCAATAACATAAGATCTTGGAAGGAACTGATTAGATAATTTTCGGCCCCGGTTCATCATAGGGAACAAGCGCCCTAAGGATGTTGGGTCGTTGTTGACCCTTAGGTGAAAGGAAATAGAGATGCTCCGCCAGTATGCCACTCATTTCTGGGAAGAAGTAAATGAGGTGAAGATATGTTCTAAAGTCATGGTGACAACCTCCTTTAGACTTGGTCTCTCTTAGCACAGAGAGACCTTAACAAAGAGGACGTCGGTGGGCATGGGAGAGCTAATGGCCTGAATTAATAAGTACTCCTGGATAGAGGATGAAATAGGGGGGCAAAAGGAAGTCTCAGACCTAAAGAAGATGGAAAATGAGAAATATGGGGGCCCTCCCTAGAAAGAATTGGTGCCTGCCTCAGGGATTTCTTTCAAATGGGTTCATACTACGTTTAAAGAACCCATTTATAAACTGATGCACAAGATCAAAAAGGATTCTTTCTTCAAACGACAGCCCAAGATATAAGACAAGCCGCCCACCAGGAACCAGAAAGTGAGGTGTTCGTACCACCAGTACGTGGGACATCTCAACGAAGATTGCAGAGTCTACAAGTTCTTCCTAGAGAAGTTAGTACAAGAAGCACACCTGAAGGAATACATTGAGGAAGCAACGCCAGTGGAGACCCATGGTGCTGGTAATCAAGTTGATGCCCGTGACAATGTCATTGACGTCATCCACGTCTGCCCACTAGAGAGACTGACGATTAATACCCTCAGGTCCGACCTTAAGAGGGTAGTCTTTGCAAGGAATGTGGATGAAGGAGATGGGGGCCGGCCTAGCAAGAGGTCCCAGACGGATGAGGAACGTAACATTTTCTCTAACACCGACCTAGCGAGCATGGTCCTTTCTCATCAGAATGCCTTGATCCTAACTTTGAAAATTGGTGGTTTCATTGTCAAGAGGGTATTGGTGGACACCGGGAGCTCCTCGGAAGTGATGTACCTCGAGGTCTTGAAATGCATGGGCCTTGGTTCCAAAGATCTCACCAAATTTAGAATACCCCTCCTTGGGGTTCAATAGCTCATTTGCCTTACCCTTGGGAAAGATCACGCTGCCGGTTATCACGGGACCCGTTATAATCGACGCAAGGTTTGTGGTGATCAATTATGATTCGCACTACAATATAATTATGGGGTGGACATGGTTACATACACTTGGGACAGTACACTCCACTTATCATTAGAAGTTGAAGTTCCCCACCCCAGAATGATTGGAAATTTATGGGGACCAGGAATCCGCAAAAAGTTGTTTCTATGTAGTAGTGAAGACAGGAGTCGCCTCCAAAAAAAGGGAGCTCGCTCCAGAGGAAGTGATGAATAAATAGAAATTATAGTCTGGGCAACTAGGAGTCGACGAGCTGCGGATTGATCCTGGAAAACGCTCAATGGAGGATCTCTAGAAGGTCCTTCTGGTGGAAAGACACGAAAAGAGGTACTTTCTGGTCGGCTCTTCCATGTCCCCAGCCCAAGAGGAAGAGATGGCTAATTTTCTGAGAGAGAATGTAGATGTGTTTGCATGGGATACCATGGAGATGAAGGGTATAAGTCCCGATGTCATAATCCATAGACTTCATGTTGATCTCGCTCACAAGCCAGTAAAGCAAAAACCACGACATATGATGCCACATCACGACCAAGCGGTGAATGGAGAAGTAGAGAGGCTCCTGGAGGCCAATGCCATCTGAGAGGTGCAATTCCCAGAATGGCTAACAAATATGATTTGTGCAAAGAAGAAGAATGGAAAATGGCACATTTGCGTGGACTTCACTGACTTAAACAAGGCTTGTCCTAAGGATGACTTTCCCCTCCCAAAAGTGGACCAGTTGGTGGATGCCACAATAGGGAACGAATGTATGAGCTTCCTGAATGCCAGGGCTGACTACCGTCAGATTCTCCTCCATCCGCTTGACCAGGAGAAGATTGCCTTCATCACTCCAAGGGGGGTTTATTGTTACATGGTCATGTTATTTGGACTGAAAAATGTAGGAACAATGTACCATAGACTTATGAATCGAATGTTCAAGCGACAATTGGGGAACACCATGGAGGTGTATATTGATGACACGTTGGTTAAGAGTAGGAGAATGGGACGATCACATTACGGACCTGGAAGACACCTTCTCCACTCTCCGAGAGTACGAACTGAAATTGAATGCGACAAAGTGTGTCTTTTGGAGTTGGTTCTAGGAAGTTCCTTGGATACTTAGTACGTCGGCGCGGTGTCGAAACCAACCCAAAGCAGATACAAGCCATCATGGATGTATGAAGCCCCCGGACAGTCCGGGAAGTCTAGAGACTTATA